TAGCCGCTGCTTTGATGCGATGCGAATTGATTTCACTTCATCTGTCGACAAACCAACAGAATCCCTGAAGTCTGCAATAAGTTGAAGGGTAGTTCGTGAAATCCAGGGCTTGTGAGGTTGCAGAGGAAGGACTGGGATGAATTTTTTGGCGTCCTCGATGGCTGCACGGAGAACTTCTAGAACTTCTAGACCTTCCAGAACTTTCAGAACTTTTAGAACTGTTAGAACTTTGAGAACTTTTGAAACTTTTAGAACTTTTAGAACCTTTAGAACTTTTAGAACTTTCTTAGAACTTTTGGAACTTTTAGAACTTTTAAAAATTTTTAGAACTTTCAGAACTTTCCGAACTTTTAGGCCCTTTAGAACCTTTAGAACTTTTAGAACTTTTGGAACTTTTACAACTTTTAGTAGAACTTTTAAAGCTTTTAGAACTTTTAGAACTTTTGGAATTGTTTTAACTTTTAGCACTTTTTTTTAACTTTTAGATCTTTTAGAATTTTAGAACTTTATAGAACTTTATAGAACTTTTAGAACTTCTAAAACTTTTAGAACTTTCAGAACTTTTAGAACTTTTAGAACTTTTAGAACTCTTAGAACCTTTAGAACCTTTAGAACTTTTAGAACTTTTCGAACTTTTCGAACTTTTCGAACTTTTCGAACTTGTAGAACTTTTAGAACTTTTAGAACAACTTTTACTATTTAAGCCTCTGGAACGCCCTCGCGCCCCAAATGCAACCAACGCCGCCTCGCTAGCGCGGTCCACCCTGATGTAGGCCAGGTGACCATCTCTAGGGGCGGGCCTCAGTGGGCGCAGCAAGTCGTCGGCCTTAGCAAAGATCTGCCCCCACGACAGACCGTCACAGGGGCTAACGGCGGCCTTGTTGCCGCTCTTGGACCGCTGCCGCGAACCAGCGTCCTCTGTAGCGGACTGGCGGCCTCTGCGGTCAGTCTTGCTTTTAGCGTCCGGCTTCACAGCAGGTAGCGGCGGCCAGCTTGGAGACGTCGGGGTCGAGCTGGTAGCTGGGAGTTCTGGTCCAGTTTCTTCGACCCGAACGGTACTGTACCGATGGTACTCGGCGTCCTCACGATCGCGAAGAACAGCCGCGAAGACCTGAGGTGTGACCGCGGCAGATGTGCGTGAAAAGCGCATGTCAGCCCGCATACGATCTCTGGCTTCGGAAAGGTGCTCCTCTGCGCTATCGGCATCCGGAGTTTCCCCTTCCACCGGAGGAGTCAAGACCGACACCCTCTGGTCGAACATCTGCTGAGCAGACGTCGGCATGTTCGTGATCGCTGAGGTTGTCGACGATCCAAGGCGCTGAACAGCCGGGCCGCCTCCTCCATGAGAGCCGGTGGACCTCGCTGGGCAACGAGCTCTGTGCCCTCCTCGTGAGATCTGTTCGCGAGGGCCTCTTGCCGCACGAACTCCAAGGGGTTCACCTGGAGCCTCGAACGAGCCCTCACATGGAAGTTTCCCCGATCGACCGGGAACTCATCGGTGATCGTGCCAATGGGCCCCTGAGCGATGGAGTCGTTGTACCACGGCGCGATCACCGCCGAAAGCCGACCGGTGGGAACGACATTGCAGCACAGATGGATCTAGCTGAAAAGCTGAATGCCTCCCACGCCGTTCTTTTCAGGCACGGCCGATCGGCTCATGCCAAAATGGCGACGGGACAACGGATCATGGCAGTTCTTCCGATCGCGAAACTGATCCCCTAATCCCAGCCCACCTAACCGATAATTTGGGGACAAGGACGCGTATTCCAAGCAACGCACACAACAAGCAACGCTAGACAACACTCAATAAACACTTCAGGACAATACTATTTCACGAACGATCACAACATCCACAAGAGCATCCCCATCATACTGCATGTGGTCATAGCCACCATTATGAAGCTGTGTTATTACATACTGTACCCGCCTTTCTTTCTTGTGATTCGGTCGATGCTTGAAGTTACTAACAATCCACTTCAGGCTGTATGGCGGGCAATGACGGGGATACCATACAAGATATTCGCCACCTTGCCATTTACCAGGACAGGCTTCCGAACGACACTGCCACATGGAAACTGAATATTTGTTAAGCCGTTTAGTCCGAAACTTTTCGGATGTCGGTTTGCGCACTGTACCACTTGCCCATATACTATTTGACTAGGCCTTTGATATTGTACATATCGAAATCTAGTCAAATAGACCCTAAAGGTATCGCGCTAATGAGCCCGATACCTTTAGGGTCTATTTAACCACGGTTTTGTATTTACAATACTAAATCCTTAGTTAAATACGACTATGCTACATGCCCGTTGGCATGTCGTCACGCCGGAAGGTTGTCGCTTCCAGGGATGTACATGTGAATACAACAAATACTCGAATCATCGACGTCTGATATGAAATCCCCTCGTGCATCTGTCCACGGGACAGCTACGAACCTGAAGCAATAAATGCATATCATCACGGTATTCTCATATGCGATACACAGGCTTCCGACTGCGAGAGAGCATGTACTGTAACCTGCGTATTATATTAACATTCTGTATAATCTCATATATATATATACACACACGTATACATATACATATACATATACACATACATATACACATACATATACATATACATATATATATATATGTATAATGTCACACAGTGAACAAGCAAAACAACAAAAAAACAACTTTCACTGCATAGCCCGCTCTCTACAGCCGGAAAGTACAGTAGCCAGTAAAGCTAGCATCACTGCACAAGGACGGAACTGCCAAGAAAGTACTGGTACGACGAGGGAGCAGCAGCGATGGCGAAGCCAGAACAACAGGTCTTCAGAAGCCCATGCAGTAGAATCAAACATTACACTTGTCGGTAGAATTCGGTAGACATATCCGAGATGTGCCTCTGATGCCAGAGCAGCAGCTCTTTTTTTTTCCCTGGGCGACACAGCATTCGCGAGCAACACAGAAAAATTCGCACACCACTCAGGCGTAAGGCAACGGCTCGCAGAGGAGGTGCTCTGCCCTGAGGAAAGAAACATCTTAGCGACACCAACCGCGCAGAACTGCAGCAATTGGGCGCAGGCACTGACCGCTGTTGGCGCTCCCGGCACAGATCGACGCGCCACGATGGAACCATGGCGTTCAGCTCCAAGCCCACCGTGTCCCAAGAATTTCCGCTGGCTTGAGCATCAAACTTCTCACGGTCACGCTTGACCCAGAGCACCGAGCAAGTTTGCCGTGTAAAAGGCTACGCAACCGACGAGGAGCCATGAGAGTCAAAACGCATCGGAAGCTCTGAGAACGGTGCTTACACTTCTGCGTGGCAATGCTAACAAGGCAGCATGCGGAGAATTTGTCTTTGCAACCGGGCGGCAGCTCTTCCAAGGAATCGGGGCCGAAGCCAAAGCTCTTGCGCTGTACAGCTCAGCCTTCCGCGGACCGATCGACTGAAGGGAAATCCTGCAGCGAGTGCTGGCGATTAGCCATGAGCAAATTGTCTACCGCGCGGCGACCTTGACATGCCCGGCAGGGGCTTACATCGTCAGGGCTCGTCCTTGTCAGTCCTGGGCTGCAGGCACTGCAGACACCCCGTCGCCTGAAAAAGAGAGAACCCGGTGAGACCCAGAATCTACACGAACCAGTACAGAAAAAGTTCGCATCATCTAAGAGACTGAGTCTGCCGGGCTTCTCCTCCTCGCAGCACCCAACAACCAAACTGAAAGTCGAGTCCTCGGAATGTTTGATGCTCCAGTCTTTCGCCCTCGTTTCACAGATCAAGAACGTGCAAAGTCAGCAGGGCAATCGAGGCGAACAGGCCAACTCCCTTTTGCTGAAGTGTTCGTTGAGCATTTGGCTGTGTGAGACAAAATTCAGCAGGAGCGGAGCCTCCAAATCTCGCTTCGGCATAGCTTCGTCTGGGATCGTCATCAGCTCGCCACAGTGAAAAGATGGTGTGCACAGTGCATCGCCTGCTCCAGGGCCTCTTTGCTGACTTCGGCAGACTCTGGCAGCAGGTCTTCCATCTGGTCAAGCATGGCTTCGGCAATCATTTGCCGCACGAAAGGCAGGCCACCAAACCCATAGTTGCCAACAAGATGGTGCGTGTGAGTCCTCACAGAAACATCCACGTCGATTGCTTGAAGGTTCGCACAAACGATGATGTCGTTGACATCACTTTCTGGGAATGGGTCTTGTCCGCGCGTGCTAGCTTCGTACACCACCAGCGGCCTGGGAAGAAAAATGCTTTCGGTGTTCTGTTCATCATGCTCGTAAACACTCGAAGACCTTCCGTTCCCTGCCACCCTCAACCCCTTCGCCCTCGAAGCTGTCGGGATCTGGCGCAGCCCATTTCTAGTAGCTGGACAACTCGACAGTTGATTGGGACCTGCCCGTAGCAACTCATGTGCCCCACTCCTTGTGTCGCACAGCAAGATGAGCACCAAACCGCACCTGTCCAACCTGCCCATTTCGGACAGGTGCTGTATTACTGTATCAAGACCTCAGTTTGCACGATAACGCGCATCCTGCTCCCATGCAATGCATTACACACCGACTGGACAAAGGGAGAACTGCTTAAAGCTCCCTGCTCTAGCACTTCTGGTCTGGCAGGAAGTCGCTCGCCACTCTACGAGGTCATCCACCTTCGGGCAGGTTCAGGCGCCCCATCCTTCGGGCTCTCCCACATCTTCGCAGGCGGCTACTCTCACAGACAGGGAGAAGAAAGGTACGGCAAGAGATTCAGCCTCAAGAATGGCTCGCTCGAGGAGTCCATTGCATGTGTTCGTCCTCAATCCTTTTCTGGATGCCAAGTTGCAGCACTTCCTGTGGAAGCTCAAACGGGTCGAAGACCTGTGGCCAGCCACCTGGTGTCTGGGCTTCCAAGCATCCGAAGAAGCTGGGCGTACACGGACACTCTTCCGGTGCCTCAGCTTCGAATCCAACGACCCAGTCTTCGACACCAAGACCTGGCTCGAAGCATTGCTGTGGCTGAGGGGTAGGCCGTCTGTTTCACGGAATCTGCCTCGGGTCACGTTAGGGCCGTTCGGCGAATGCCAAAGCCATGAGGTGAGAAGGTTACAATTATCAAGCGGCTGCAGTCAATCCTGAGAACGATGCTCGTTAGGAACATCTGAAATATCGTCGTGCCTTGTGAGTCTCCGGTAGCTAAAGCGACAAACGGCGGTTGAACAGTCTTTGCAACTCGGCGGCTGCTCTTCCAAGCTGTCCTCCGATGCACCCGACCGGGTGGAAGCGGTCAGCCTTCAGCAATGGCTTTGGCAAACCAAAGCTGCAAAGCTCCAGGCCAGCAGACCACAAAAGCAAGCGCACCGTAAGCTCTGAGAACAGTGCTCGCCATTTGCCGTGGCAACGTACACCGAGGCAGCATGCGGGAATGCTGACGGCTGTTGATGCTCATTGCGATCGGTGTCCGCGCCGCACCTTACTCCGTTCGTTGGCGGAGGAGTAGAACATAGTAGAACTCCGGGCTAGCAAACTGCCTTGACGAGGCATCGCCTGCCACGTCCAACTGCTCCGAGAGCTCCAGGGCCAGCTTCTGTACAAAAAGAAGCTGAGCATGGGCTGGGAATTGCCTCGGACGCAAGCTGAAACATCACAGCATGACAGTCTTGAAAAGCAGCGCTCACGTGCGCCAGGGCACACCCAGGTCTCCAGCTGCTGCAGGACCCTCGAGCGATGGCATGTCTCCGGCGACGCTTTGCACATCTTTTCGAAATGGATGCTTTGTTCGGACTGCAGGCGACTGCGGACTGTCGTGCATGTATAAAATGTGCGAATGTGCAGATCCTTGTTGATCAGCGAGAGGTATGTTGCTGCATAAGCCAAAGCTGAGTTCGACAAGATGAGCTCGAGAACATGAGTGCGCAAACGTAAGAAAGATGCTCTGTACTGACCAATGCCACCGAGTGCAAAGCAGTCCGTCGGATCGAGAAAGTAAAACCTGAGAGGCACAGAAGAACGTTCCGGCTTGCCGACAACTGGACAGACCGCGACCCGGCCTAGCGAGTCTACCCACAAGCGGCCAAATGCCAAGCTTCCATGATGCAAGGCCAAGACCATCTGCCGTCAAACAAAAATTGAGGACCGAGCGCCCACGCACCATAATTCTGAACGTGAACACCTCACAGGGGAACGGCAAACTGAAGTCCCTGGCTCAGCTACACTTGAATTGCAAGTAGCTGTCATTTACGAAGAAACTGACCATTCCACGGACCACCTGCGAACGCAGCTTCGTAGGCATGTCCACCATGTTTCCATCCTCGACATACGTCCTCAGCTAGAAACTCCGCTCCATTGCCAAGACAAGGTCTCGATCACTTCGGGGCGCAAGGACTTCGTCTCAAAAGCATACACAGGAGGCTTAGTCGGACGGCGAACCTCAAAACATGAGATAGCTCAAAGGAGTGCTGCACTACCTCCCTTTTAGCCGAAGTTTTCGTTGAGCGCTTGGCCGTGTGAGACAGAAATCAGCTGTTGTGGAGCCTCCAAATGTTTCCCCGCAAATGCCGGCTGGCATGCTGCGACAGAGCCTTCAGTTGCTGCTGTGCTTCCGCATAGGGATCGTCATCAACTCGCTGCACAGGAGCTTCAGGTCAGAAATCAGTGTCTCCCGGAATTGGGCCTGACCCTCGTTAATTTGCAGGGCTCTCACTAGCAAGGGACACCCACTTCTGACGCGAGGCTTCGTCAGTGCTCGCAGAAGCGCCTCTCTGTGAGACTTGCTCTGCTGTTGCTATGATTCCTTTGGGGTCCGGTGAACATCGCTGTGCCAGACCTGCTGTCAAAGACCGCCGAAATGCGCAAAGGGGTCTTGGAGCAGGCAATGCAGTGTGCAGAGCATCTTACCGACGTTCTACACCAAGACGACACTTGAAGCCTCAACGCGTTGACCCAACAACTGTCACCATGGGCCAAACCATATAAGAGCTGCAGAAAACGAGTGATGACAAGACCAATCACAGCAACGCAGCGCGGAGCGGGGCCGGCTCACTGAGGACAGATTCCTTCTGCCTTGCCATTCGGGCGAAGACTGTCATGGCAAATGGTCTTCTGGCAAGGGATGCTTCTTTGATTGAGGTAGCGGCGTCCCAATGAACTTGAAGATGCGCTCAGCCTGGCAACATGGACAGGCATAGCATGTTGTGCTGGTGCCTGACAGTCCCACGACTTGACGTCGGCTACGGCGGAGGATCACAATCAAGCTCGCAATATCGCGAAATCCAGGGTAAGTGCACTCTAGGCCCTAGGCTTTGGATTTAGAGCTGCGCGTGTGAAACTCCATAAAGATTAGCGGCACTGGCGGTGACCGAACATTCGGGCCCACCGCCCTTGTCCAAGGCTGAGCCCGTCACTAAACTTGTCGGCCCTATACGGGTACAGATGGGTGGGGTTCGGGCCGGGGCCGACGCCCGGCCGCTTTGGACCCTTCGGGGAAACTCTCATGAGCATCATCGGGGATGTCTCGCAAACCCGCACCTCCCCCCCCTCTCTCTTTGGCTCTCTCCTCTTTGTCTCTGTCTCTCTCGCTCTCTCGCTCTCTCCTCTCTGTCTCTGTCTCTGTCTCTGTCTCTGTCTCTGTCCCTGTCCCTGTCCCTGTCCCTTTCGCTGTCCCTGTCCCTGTCCTTGTCCCTGCCACAATCCAAAGCCAGCAAAAATGTGTGTATTGGTCTCATCGTTGCAACGAATCGGCACTACGAGGAGAAATCTGCTCCGGAAACCACCACGAACCTCTGGGCCTAATCACCCAGGTCACAAACGTCAGTACACCTGATGTAGGATATGTTGGGATCCAGGAGTGGGCATTAAACTCATTAAACAGGACGTCCGAAAACGAAAGTCTGTCGCAGCTGTGCCTTGAACAGCAACTAGCGTTCGACGAGGCCCGAACATGTAACCACCGGTCCCCCCTCATCGCTGAGCACAATGAAGCATGAGGTGCATTGCTATTGACCCACGGTGTAGTTTGCCGCCTGCTACGGGCTAGGCTTGAAGGTAAACCAGCTGTCATTCGTCTCCGTTTTTTGTCTCTTTCTCTTTCGCATTCCACTTGCTTTCTCCTTCTAAATATTCAATCGCTCCATGGGAATACTGGACCTACACGTCCAAGGGAGCCCAAAACCCAGAAATGCTCCCAAGACTACTTTTAAAGGGCCGAAGCTGCAGTCCAAAGGTTTACCATTACAGGTCCTTAAAAACAAATGCACGCGATCCAGGTGTTTGTCTTTCGGACGTTGGTGCGGGGTTTCCTTCCCTCCTCTCCCCCTCTCTCTCATGCACCCTCGGCTCCTCCGCCAAGTGGGAAGGGCGGATGGATGGGTGGACTTGGGTGTTGGTTTCGGATTGTGGTCCTGGGTCTGTGCCGGCAAGGCAGGGCAAAATGAGCCGGAACGTGGCCTTGCGTGCTGGGGCTAAGTATTAAGTTCGGAGCTGACCCACGAACCGACACATGCGCAAAGCTTGCAGGGCCCGGACACTCAGCTTGAAGCCCGGCTCGTGCTTATCCGGGTGGTACCGCACCCGCAACGCCTTAAGGCCTGCCTAACAAGAGGAATGACTGTCGCTGGAAATTGCCACGAACTCTACCGCAAGCTGCCTGGCGGTCGTTTTCAGGAGCTTGCCGCAGGCGGCAAAGCTCCTGGCGTCTGGTCAGATTCGATCATGATGGCCCCGCCCCGACCCGCTGCCCACCTTGCGGACGTCCTCGGACTCGCGCAGCTCCCGCAAAAGCAGCTTGGCCGCGTGCCTCAGTGTTTGGGTGAAACAGCCCCGTCTCTATTTCCAAGACCTCGAAGGCTGAGGGGCAGGCTGCAGTTTGTTTTCGCTGGGGATCTGCCTCGGGCAACGCTAGGGGCATGCCATGAGGTGAGAAGGCTTCAAGAAACCCAAGCGGCTGCCGACGAAAGCTTGGTCCGAAATTGGTCCGACTTTTTCTCATTGACATGCGAAGCTACTTTGTATGCTCAAGGGCCCTGCAGCGGCGGCACAAGAAGATACACATTCACAACCATGGTCTCTACAGGCAAAACAAAGCTGGAATTCAGACTCAACCTGTTCTGATGTTGCCATGTGGCTATACACTATACAGTACAAGGGATGAAGTAACCACTGGAGGTACGACAATGATGTCATCCTCATGCGAGTGGTGTCTGCGAGCTACTGCTTCACGACTCAGCTGCGGTACGCACAGGCTGCGCGTCCGACTGTGTAGCGTCTGCAGACTCCGCTCTACAACTCACCGGTCACTTTGTACACTCCTGAATGGATTACCTTGATTATAAAATCAGGCTTCAACGACTTCGTAAAACAATCAGCAACTTGCACTAAGCTCGATTTGCGACCTGTTGTCCTGAACCCTACCAGGGGCTTCAGCACTGAGGTGATTCGGTGAGAGAAACATGCGGGACCTTGGTCCCCGCAAGGTGTTCCCATTCGGTCCCTCAGCATCCATAGATTTCTGCCAGGGCGTGCCACAGCTGTTGGGACCTTTCGTTGGACTGTCAGTACACCTAAGTTTTCGAAGTCAAAAGGTCCGGTTTCCATAAACAGATACAAGTTTCGTCCCATCAAAGGCCAACTCAAGGACCTTGTTTGCCTCTTGCAAAGTGCCGAGCTCTCGATACACGGTACAAAATATCTGGCTTGGCCTGCCTAGATATCCACGAAAGGCTGCCGACTACTGAACGGAGCTGGCGCTCCTCACCTCGGTCCACAGGATCCGAATGCCTCCTCTTCGGCTTAATGTCGACATAAGCTACAATATTTTTGTAGTATTATCGGTATTGTCAATTAATACGTCATGACCTGACCGGTCAAACTGCTTACCACAAAAGCGAAGTCTACCAGACTCGCGGCGGCCAATCTCAAACCTCTTGAGGAGGCGACCTATTATAGTACCGCCCTTGATCGACACCCAGTGGAAGTCGTCGACATGTGTGGTAAGGACACACACGACTTTTCGGCCTTCGCTGTAAAAATAGAGCGCAGGGAAGATCCTGCTAACTTGGAAGCCGACTTTCCCGGTCGACTGTACGCCACTCTGATCAAACGCACGGTGTCCGGGCCGACACCGCGGAGACCGCCACTGGGTTGTCGCATCAAAACGACGCGATCAATGGGCTCTGCTTGGAAGTAGGTGTTCCGTATGTCTGAGCAGGGGCGAACGCTGCAACAAGAGCACGCGTCTCAAGATCCGAAGTAGGAGCATCGGTCCTTACTTCTGTGTGGAATCCTCAAAATTTCCACAAGACACGAGCCTGACTTAAACTCGGGGACGTGGCCTGGCTATAGCCGTTCGTGGTACTTCTTGATTGTATCTACCCTACCTATCCTGCATCTAGCGACATCTATAGCGCGACTTTGCCCAGTGCGCCGGTGCAAACTTTTGGCCCCACTGCACTGCAGAAACCTGGTTGAGAGCAATCACGTCGGCGCGCTCAGGCGGGCCATGAGGCACCTCGGAGCTGCCTGGCCCCTTCCTTTAGGGGATGACGACCTAGAAGACTTTGAGGTGGGAGGGCCCCCCATCCAGCGCACCATCCGACTCGGAGTCTGTTGCCTGGGCTACCGTGCTTATCTACGCGCCTTCATATGCGCCGGAGCACATCACTGTTGCGTTCCGGTTCCCAGCCACCCTTGCAGAGGGTCTTACCGTGATACATGCAGAACGAGGTCCGGAGCAAGCAAGGCGCTTCCCCGATCCTGCCTGCAAACCCGCAGACCATTGCGGGCGAAGGATCCGGATCTGTGTTTGATCTTCGTGGATGCAACACGGTGGGACGGTCGGCATTACACTGTGCCCACGCCTCCTTATGTGGATAGGAACGCCATTCTCACGAGCTGTGTATTCCTATTCCTGCCACGGCAGCAGTGTACGTCTGCGCCCCTCTGGCGGAGCTGGACGGAGGCAGCACCTCTCACTTGCACCCAGGCAGCACGATTGTTGTTGCACCAACCGGTGCGACTGCTCTTCCGGACACCAGCATTGGCGCAATGTTTGTTCGACCAAGTCTTTGGGCCCAAGATTCTGCGTTTCCGGTGGACGACCGTGTCGCATACTGTGT